AAATTAAATAGTTGAATTCACCTTAATGTTAATGTAGGACATGAAAATATAGCTCTTAATGTATACTCTCTCCAAATTTCGGCTCTTAATATTAATAATTAAGGTCACTGCGATTAAATAAATAAAAAAAATTATCTCAGCTTCTAATCAACTTACAACAACGATTTTTTTTTTAAATTCGAAGAAAACTAAAGTAAAGAGGTTACTATTTTATTTTATAATAATTACCTATCTTAACAATTTAATAAATATTAACATTTTTTCAGTCAATTTTAAACAAATTAAATTTGAAAAACTAAATTCTCAGTAAATGCCTATGTCAATACAACTATTTAGGTACAAAAACAACTAATGATCAAAACCCTACAACGCCTGTGAGCTTGGGAAAAATGAATTGAAAATAGCATCTTCTTAGATAACAAATTCCGCCAACGCCAAACCAATGAAGCTTTCGAGCTGAAATTTTTACCACTTATTAAGGGTGTAAAAAGCCTCAAAAATCCTGAATTACAAGTGTCTGCGATGAAAATTGCATTAATTATTAGCAATTGAAAAAAACGGCAATTTTCGACCATTTTTGAGCTCTTGTGCATAAACAAATTATCGGAATTTAATCGGACTTTTTTCATTTTATAGGCTTATTTAATACTTACCTTTTTTGTATAAACTTTTTTTCGCTGTGAATAATAGCTTTTTTACGTGAGTCAAAAAACCACTTTTCCATAACTTTGACCACTGTTAAAACAAAGTTTCCCAACTAGCCTCGAGTTGATTTTTTGATATTTTATTTATAACAGGTTTCCGAACATTATATTCCGCAGAGAAACTTCTAATAGTATTTTTTTCCCTAAACAGGCTCTTTCATGTCTTTAATGACTGGGTTATTGGCGACGACGACAACTCCAAATGATTTGGACCAAATCCTATCGAATTTCCTTCACACTGAACGTTTAGCCATAATTGTCTTTTTGGTTGTCGTATGAACAAGTTTTTTAGTGTCTAAATATATACATATTTTATTAGTAACTCTCGGTTTTTTTAATGTGTTAAGGTTATTTCAAATAAATTTAAAAAAATCCTGTCAAATGAAGCTTATGCGAATCAAAAATAATTTTTTACGGGAAAAATAGAGCAGGTGAAAGACTAGCTATATATTTCAAAATTAAATGTTTATATTTGCAAGGTATTTCATTTGAGGTTGACAAGTATTTTCTTGAAATTAACTTCAAATTTAGCAATCTAGTAGGGATAACCTATAGGTAGTTATATGGGAAATTCCGCCCGGTCAAATTTTAAAATTTTACACAAATGTACTACATCGAATTAAAAAACCTGCATCTTAGAAGCCTAGTGTCGAATACATCAACGAAAAACCAACTGTCTGGAGTACTGGCCACCTGCGTTGTAAAGAATGGCTTATAGGCATTAAGGAAATGTGAACACGTTGAAGTCGGTGGTAATAGTATTTGTATGTATTTATTCTTAGGAACAGAAAATGGAACCATTGTAGACTACGTAACGGTGCTTAAATATACATTGAGACGATATTAATGAAATACTAGCCCCAGGTATAGTCTCTAGACTAAACAATAACTTTCTGATACAGATACGAAGAAATATAAACGTTTAGGTATCATTTAACCATTATTTTATTTTTTACGTAAATGGTTATAGTCTAAAATGTATATTTTTTTAAATAGCGTTTGTTATTGGAAATGTAATTTTAAGCATATTGTAACCATCAGAAGCTAAAAAACCATTGGCATAGAAATTTTAATTTTTTTAGGGGGTGGTTATCTCCCAGAATATTTAAAATTCTTTCGCTAGAGCTTTATTGGACTTTTCTTAATTACATTATGTATTCAACATTTAACAGCTAATAATTAATATATATTTTTTTTCTTAAACGAATAGTTATTTTCAATTCAGGGCATATTTAAAATTAAAAAATAATTACTCGAAAATAGCTTGTTTTTCGATTAAAACAGAAGATTAATTGTTTTCTTAGAAATACCAACCGGAATTAAATGCACTTAATTAAAATATTCAGTGGCGTTGAAATTTTGGAGTTCTTAGAGTAGCGGAGATGTTAGATACCTCTGCTACTGGTTGACAAATTTGTATAGCAGGTCAAATTTTTTTCCATGCAAGTCATTACCCCAAGAAATGTATTTTTTTCATAAATTTGAACTCCCTGTTTTTTGAAAACGGAGATTTTGAGAAACATATTTACATGAACTTTTTCTCTTATGTTGAAGTATATTCTGACAATGCAAAGTTTGGTGTGTGTAATTTAATGATTATCCAAGTTTGTAATAATTAAATTCCATTACGCAAAATTATAGTTTTTCTAGAAAAAGTTAACAGTATTTTTTTTTAATATTCTGATTGTATAACTCAAGAAAACTATTAGACCAGGCGGTATCTGTTTTGGTTTGGGTGAATTGTATATCCACGGAGATTTTTGGCTCTTTGGCTTTCAAATATCACTAGAAATTAAAATTTTTCTATGCGCATAAAAAAAACGTGGGCTTAACTTTTGGCGGCACAATATGTTAAAAAAAATTGGAAAAATGTCATATTTTTCTTCCTATTTAATTATGTATCTTTTTAAGAGTTGACTTTAGGCGAAAATATAAGAGGAAAAAAATGTTTGTAATTAATTTTTTTACAATACATGACTGGTTACAAATCGAATGAATCATGATTAATATGGTAAAAATCGAAAAAATCACAAAAATGGGGTTAAAAAACAATACTTTTTAGGGATTTTTTTTGGTGTATTTATATTGGGTGTAGGACCTTTACACTTGGCTTCATGTTATGTAAAAACATCAAACCAAATTTCATCAAAATCGGTTCGATAGATTTTGCATAATAATTTTGCAATCCAGATTAAAAAAAATTGGCAAATTTTCAAAATTTTGCACATCAAAAATCAAGGCCCTTAGATATTAAAAATTTAATCACATATAGAAGGGCTCTCAGGCTTTCAAACTTTTTTTAAAAAATTCGCATCCGTCAATTAGGAGAGCTCTGGCGCTTGTTTAAACATTGGTCGAATTTTTGTACTTATAAACAATTAGAACTTTGTGAATTTTCAATCAAATCAAATTTTTTAAAGCAGATTTGAAAAGTTCTTGAAAAGACGCTTCTTTAAAAAAAACAGATCGATTGATCAATTAGTTACGTAGTTATAGCCGTCATTTACACTAAATGTACTTGGACATCCGGGCTAATTTTTCGAAAAATACCTTTGGTATTCCGAGTACTTACCAGGCCTAAGATTACAATACTTTTCTTCATTGGCAACCTACTTTAAAACGTGTTTAGTTATTTATGCAAGCGAGAAATTCAATAAAATCGTACGAGTGGTGGTGGGGGAAGCAAGGAGCCGCTTCGGCCTGCTCGAAATTGAATCGTCCATAACTACGTAACTAATTGATCAATCGATCTGTTTTTTTTTTAAGAAGCGTCTATTCAAGAATTTTTAAAACCTGCTTTAAAAAATTTGATTTGATTGAATATTCACAAAGTTCTAATTGTTTATAACTACAAAAATTCGACCAATGTTTAAACAAGCACCAGAGCTCTCCTAATTGACGGATTCGAATTTTTCAAAAAAAGTTTGAACGCTTGAGAGCCCTTCTATATGTGATTAAATTATCAAGTATCTAAGGGCCTTGGTTTTTGCTGTGCAAAATTTTGAAAATTTGCAAATTTTTCTTTTTTATTTGGATTGCAAAATTATTATGCAAAATCTATAGAACCGATTTTGATGAATTTTGGTGTGATGATTCTACATAACTTGAAGTTTTCTTGAGCCAAGTATAAAGGTCCTATACCCAATTTAAATACACCAAAAAAATTCCCTAAAAAGTATTGTTTTTTAACCCCATTTTTGTGATTTTTTCGATTTTTACCATAATAATCATGATTCACACGATTTATAACTAGTCATGTTTTGTAAAAAAAATTAATTACAAACATTTTATTCCTCTTCCATTTTCGCCTAAAATCAACTCTTAAAAGGATACATAATTAAATAGGAAGAGAAATATGACATTTTTCCAATTTTTTTAACATATTGTGCCGCCAAAAGTTAAGCCCACGTTTTTGTTATGCGCATAGAAAAATGTTACTTTCTAGTGATATTTGAAAGCCAAAAAGCCAAAAAGCCAAAAATCTCCGGGGATATACGATTCACCTAAATATGGCTTTATGAAACAGATACCGTCTGGACTATATGTATAGTGCTAGTGGCTAACAACATTTATTTTGAAAAGGGGTCGTTATGATAACAGCACGTCACTGGATATTCAGCTGCAATCTGGTTTTAGAGTAGAGACTTGTTAATATAATAATATATGCCTAATTAGAAAGAATTATGAATTGACGAAAATACTGACGTCAAGAAAGATGAAAACCTGATATTAATTTAATTTAAATAACATGATTAACAAACAATATCATTGTTTCGGCTTTCTTTCCAATTTTGGTTTTCCGAAGTCCACTTTTATCGCGAGAAATTTAAAGTACCTGCTGACGTCTATAAGATTTTAATAATTGGTTGTATACTTTGAATATAATACTCATTTTATCTCTACAATGCGTTTGTTATATCTGAAATGGGAGCATCCACGATTAACTGTGAATAATACAGAGACCGCAATTTTCGATGACCACATTTGCATTAGCGAAACAGTTGAATCACTGATAAAAAGAACACAATATTGAAATCATGCATCGACAAACTGGACCACTGTTATCAAACATGTGGCTGTCGTTAATGAAAACGCCTTTTAAATTTTTCTGGAATGACTAATCGGTCTCGACAATTGTTTTCAATGTCGTCCTTTATCTGCCTTTAGTGAATCAAATTGTGGTATTTCGGAACAACATTGAAAATCAACAGGCATAAGGATATGCGCTATTTATAAATGAGGATCAACAGGGTCAATAATATCACTAACAAGTAAACTACAAGAATACATACATACCTATAATCATGGTTACAAAGCGGGATATTTTTGGGGTTTGTATCCTGGAACAAACGGAAAGAAAGAAAATAAATACCTCCTACATATAAATAAATTTTTAGGTTTTGTGTGTGAAATGGTAAATGATACCTACTTACCAATTTTATGTCGCTTGTGTAGTCTGAAAGCGGCCTAGAACAAATAAAAATTGCTGAAAAATTGGTATCATTAAACTAATCTATCTATCGTTTTAAAAAATTGTATATAATTAATAATGACAAAACTCGAATCTGGAAATATTAAAGATTAAAGTTAAAGAGTAAACCAGACAAGCCTTAAACAATATTGACGAGTTAGAAGATATAAAATAGGGGTGTATAAAATTATTTTGAAATTTCTCAATAATTGAAAAACTTTTTTGAAATATCAACTTAAAAATTGTGTTTTACCTTTTTTTTTTGCTTAACAAATAGTAATTTCCGACTAATTTTTGGCGTAGCTCATAGGAGGCGATAGTTACACTCTATGGCCTAGGTAAATCAGAGAATTATTGTAAAAACGAGTTGTAATTTTCTATTATAAGAGCCAGTTTTCCAAATAAATTTATTTGTCAATTAAATCTATGTAGTCATGCAGACAGATATAATGAGGCAGACACAGATTTTATTGACATTTATTAGGACGTGAAAATAACGAGTTCCTAGGATAATTTATGTTAGTACGAGAAATAGAATATATTTTTGCGAATCGTACAAATTGGGTTCATACAAAATTTTGTTGTTCATATAAGAACGTATTACAGAAAAATTCTAGAAATTTTATTTTTTGTTTCCGTTACATTTTTACTTTTTATTTTAACTAATCTTTAAATTCTATTTATTGTTGTTAACTGCAAGTTGTAACATGAACAGTACTAAAACAAAAATCAACGAAATATGTAAAAAAGTTGATATTATCTCAACATTTTTCCAGAATTTGTGTCTGCTTTTTTTTGCATGAAATTGCGAATTTATTTTTAACATGAACCATGAACTTTGTCCACTACTATTGCGCAACAAGTCGTTATGCAACAGAAACAGAATACCTACAATATTTTATTAATTTCAAATAATTTTGTGGAATATATCGCTGTCACCGAAAATGACCTCCCTGGTAACTTTTTTTATTTTTAAACTGAGGAAAGAAGTTTTATGGTTTTCAAAAGGTTTCAATTAAATTGTAATAAAATAAATTTAATTCAATCCAAATGTAACCCATTTGGTTAAAAGTTAAAGTTAAAAAAATTCTATATACATGATATTCCATTTAAGACTGTAATCATAAAAAAATATTAGACAAAAATTAAAAGAATTAAAAAAGTGTAACAGTCTTAAGTGGCACACCCTGTATATAAAGCATTATTTAAATTTAATTTAAGTTATCGGGGTGATAATTTTTGTTGTATATATTTAAAAAAAAGTGGGAAATCACGACAGATAAAGTCTAATTAGTGTTTACTGTCGAACGTACTTAGGAAATAAAATCGGAAAGAGGAAATTATAATATTGGGAAACTCCGATGCAGTCTGCAAAAATGATAACGATAAAACTGACGGCTTTGAGCAAGCAGAAATGTTTCATCAGGGAGATTAACTTATTGATGACTGCACTGTAAGATTCTCAGTACAATAATAATGAGTACTGTAGGTAGTTTAAATTGTGACTTATCTGCGATTGCAGGCGCCTGAATAATTTGTTACGAATGATAAACAGACACGTTTCTACACGTTGATCTACTTTTGAGAATTGACAAACGTTTCAACAACAACCGTTCCCTTCATCATTAGCAATGTTTCTTGAATGTTATTTTTTTATACAAAAATTACACCATTTCTCCAAATACTTACTAACTATAATCTACGCAAAATTGAAATGGATACTTTTGTCATAATTTACAAATTGCGAATTTGTCAGTTCAGAATTTTGTAACGATATACAATTTATTTTTCTGTAGGTATACTATAGAGTAAGAATAATGATGCAATTTCGTTTTATTATCCTGTATCTACTGATAATGATTATGAAGTTGTGACAGGGCCGTAGGCGTCTAATATGCCGTCCTTGTAATATATATTAACTGTTTATGCACTTCCTAAAAGTATTATAAAAATGTTCCATATCGTAGAGCTTTGTTTTGATGATTTTTCATTAGGTAGGTATACATTCGTTTAACCCAAATAATAATCAGTGATTAAAAATGCAGCGCGTAGAAGCTTCAAGAGAAAAGCCGATAATATTGAAAATAATTTTTTTTTACAGTAACAACAATAGGTAATAAAATTTTTAAGTACCTAATAATTTGTAAACAGTAAAAATTGGGATATGCATACACCTATGTATTGAGAAACTTATTATACAGGGTGTTTCTTAAGTTCTTACTTACAAAACAGAATCATTGGCGTATTCATTTTAAAACTTTTGGGTAGCTGTACTCCTTGGCTGTTCTTCAAATAATTAAATATTTCTACTGTAATGATTTTCTTGGAAGTTTTTATTTTATATTTTAAATTTAGTTTATTATATTTTAAATTTCGTTTGTACACAAAATTCCTATATTTCTTTTTTGTAAAACGAACAATTTGGAAACTATTTTCGATTTATTTAACTGTAAGATGAGAAGATATCTTTTTATCAAATATAATTACGAATATTTCAAAAAACTCGAAGGCGTAGAGATTCTGAGGTTTTCAATAGCCCGTGTCGCCAAATACCTCTGTCACTGGTTAACATCTCTATAACAATTTAACGAATTTTTTAATTTAGCTGATAAAATCATTAACCTAAGTTTTATCAATATTAAATCAACTTAAAATACTGGGTGTAACGTAAAGGTTGGGAATAAATTAAACGGTGGATTATTTGGTTTAAAAAATATTTTTTTCTCATATGAAGTTATGCTCTACGGGTTTTCTTTTCCAAGCTACAGGGCGCTAAAGTTTCAAAAAATTTAGTTTTTCTCCAATAAATTTCGAACATTATAAGATAATGGAACGAAATTTTAGCCTTAGCTTAATTTGATAATCCCCTAGTTACAGGAAAAAATTGACTTTGTAAGTTACTCAGTGGCGCGCGTACGGATTGTACCATAAGGTTTTTCGAAGAAAATTGTGGTACGCCACTGGTAAAAACATTTTTTTAATATTTGTTTATGATCTACTTTTTATTTTAAACAAAATTACCCTCTTGCGTTTTATTTCTAGCTCATGTAATGTTTCCGTAAATAAAACTTTTGTAAATACCATTTTATCCCACTGCTAACAGAGGAATATAAAAATAATAAAAGCATTATGAAGTACGCTTTGACTCAGCCACCGAACATGGTCAAATAGGCATTGAAAAAAGATTTTTGCATTGAAAATGATATTAAAAAACTAAATTTTTTGAAATTTTTTAACACCCTGTAGCTTGGAAAAGAAAACCCGTAGAGCATAATTTTATATGACAAATATTTATTTTTTAAAATAAAAAACCCACTGTTTAATTTATTCCCAACCTTATTCCCTATGTTACACCCTGTATTTTAATTCTGGAGAATTGTTATTCAAAAGTAGGTATAGATATAACATATTTTATTTTAAATATACTAATTTTTGCAATACCAATCTCTGAGGAAATATAAGATTTTATGTACCCCTACAAAAATATCTCGATAACCAAAAATAATATTAATCATAAGTAGGATTCTTACTCAGGCAAGTTTCTTCGAAGTACGGAAAGTCCCATAATATTTTCTTCTTTCGCGTTCACTTAGATTGTCTGGAGGTTTCTTAAACGATTTTTGTTACCTGAAAAAAAAAAAACATATTAGTTTACTTAGAATAAAATATCTTAGGGCACGAAACCGATATCTGAAAATGATACCATGATAAAAGTATAAGATTCCTACCCAATACGGTGTAGATTACATTGTTTTTAACCACTTGTGGTCGTTTGTTGAAACAGCCTTCTTTTGTAGATGAATATACTTTTACTTGTTAAGTAAATAAAAAGGATATTTTAAGTAGGTATTCGTATTTAAGCTAAAACTTAAAAAAAGATAAGATAATAGACGATAAAAGATAAAAATTATTATTTGTTGTACATTGCATTCAAATCAACATGAACGCATTAAGTTATTAAGCTCGCCATTAATTATTTCATTATGTCATTGATATGATACTTAAAGTTGTACGGAGTGTAATACAATAATGTGCCAAAAATGAAATAGCAAAATCCGATAAGAATTGGCGCCGACGATCCTCTAGATAGCATGATATCTTAAAACGTAGGTACTTAATACAAAATTTCTTATTTCATATTATCGTTCATTGTTCTGATACTCTTAGAGACTATTTAATCTCTCTGTTTTTATCATACACTTCAAAAGATGTATATAATTATATTTTAACAGATTTAACACTGATACTTCAATGCAAACATTAGCTGTTTCTCTTTTATAAAAAAAACACATTATTTCCACTTACTATTATCTGCACTAGATCAAGAGTTTGACCAATTCGCTCAGTTTATTATAATGATGTCAGATCCAGTTACTTTCCAGTAATCGTGAACTAGATACTCTTATGATCAGTATTCGTTACTTTATACTCGTTACCGGTCACTCGAGATTCTCGATGGATGTCGATTTTCGATATGAACAGTACTTAGAGCCGGGAAATAGGTACCTACTTATCAAGTAAATCACTCAGGAAAGAAAATAGTCTTGTTGTCGTCACCAATATGTCCTTATAAAAAAATTACAAGTACCTATATTCATCCAATAGTTACTATACCGTTCTTAACTATGAAGTCATGCATGTAACCAGGAGTTTGAACGAAAATTAGATCATTTGTAATAAGGAATCATAATTTTTCAATTGAATTTTTTTCCAAATATTCATTAAAATATTTCGAAGCAGTAGTTCGTCTTGACTTTTCAAAACAAATAGGTACTCCGCTGTAAAGAAATACGTGTACGCTTAGAATTTATGGTTATGGGTCTTAACTTGGAACAATAGACTCCAAAATCATGTAAATAAGTCATTGTGCTGCCCCGGACAAAGGTGTACGTGAAAAACAATTGAAAGTTGAAAAATAAAACAGGTTCAACTAAAAAACACGAAATCGTACAATTCTATTTTGTTCTCCAATTTGCATATAATGCCCGGCGTTTATTTAATTCAAATTTTGCCGTATAAGTCTCGTTTTGCTACGTCAATAATACCATTGTCGGTGGAAAGTACCAGATCTATTCCTTAAGAAACTTGACGAGCTTGTGACTCAGTGAAAAATAATTCCCGAAAATTGATTCTTGTGTGTAGATAATAAAAGAGAATAAGTTCGTAAAAGGACAATCAGAATAAGATAAGCATAAGCTCCAAATTAAAAGAAAAGTGCAAGGAAGTCATTCTTTTGCACTTTCATCCTTTTTCTTCCGAACTTCCTTCTGTTTCCCAAACTTTTCCACTTTTATTAATTTCCTTTCTCTCAATTTTCGCTCTTTCTTCGTCGTTTTACCGACTTAATTTTTTTAATTTTTCCTTATCGTAGGTATATCTTAATAATCTTTTGAAAATTTGTGAGGAAGGGATTTTTTTGTCGTTTTTATTAAAATACTTATTATCAATGCATAAGTTGTAGGTATATAAAATAATAATTAATGAATATTGATATTTAAATTCGATAAATAACAACTTTTGTTTTCGCTCTTTCAAGTTCGACTTCCTGTATTATTCGTTTCAGATTCAGTATTTGTGCACCAAGCCAATATCACTGATTTCAAATCAATAAACAATTTTCAGGTTTTTTACAAGTACCTCATAAAAGAAAAGGTAATGCTGATACATCAAATTCCTCCTAGCCGCTACCGAATAAAAACAAAGCAGCATTGAAACAATTAATGTGGCAGAAAAATAATTTCCTTTCTAGAAACACCCAAACCGCTATTTTCATTCATAAATCGGTAGCCTTCCAGGTGTTCACAATGACGAGTCTTTCATGCAAGATTAGCTGTCTTAAGGACGAATCGGTACAGCAATAAAATCTCCACAATTCCAAATAAACAAACTGCACTTAATAATAATAATGGTAAACTCTGATATGCTTTACAAACAAGTAAAGTTCATTGTTCCTCGGCCTCTGTTCAGAGAACAACAACAGAAATTTACAGTGAATCATGAATACAGTATTTACTGTTTATAATCTAATTGAACGTTGAAGTTTACCCTATTCTGGCCAAGCCTGTTTGCATAGGCAAGTGCACGGGTTGAGCTGTTATCGTTCCATTTTGTCCGTTATCTCCCATAACAATGTACAGTGTGAACCAAATTCGATGAAATCAACTAGCAGAAATACACAAAAACAAATAAAAACGTTGTTTTTTTTAAATTGGAACCATAATTGGTTGTGATCTATACATTTTTTCTATTTTCCATAATAATATACAGGGTGGGCATCAGTAAAATCTCGGCCGCTAGGAACCAAACGGCAAATGTTATAGAAACTGTGTAGGTTAATTACGGTTACATTTGAATAATATTTTGATATATACAGGATGTCCAGGAAAATCGTACCATATCAATCGTCTGGCGCAAAAAAAAATATTCGGATTCAGTATATACTGCGTAAAAAATACTCAGGGAAATCGGCCAATAAAAAAGTTTTGCTAAGATAATCTATAAGTATTATTACAGCAATTATTTTTCTTATTAATGTTAAAATATCATATGCCAAGCTTAGCAGAAATTATTTCTATGTAATACACAAATTATTTGTATGTAATTTGTACGTAAGTATTTGTATGTAATGTGTAGCTCATAATTTTTGTTTTATATTATAAAAAGATAAAAATAAAAAGCGAGGGATGATGAGACTGTTCAATTATAACTATATTGTTTTCTACTTGTAACTTTTTAAACATGAAGGGAAAATTCAGACAATGTTTAAATCTAGTTATGGCAAAAAATAAATCACCTATTAGTGTCTAAAAAGTTACTTATTTGAAGTAAAAAAGATATTTGCTGGTAGTTACAAAACTCATCAACTTGCTACTGTAGCTACCATAAAAAGATGGTCTTACAACAATACATAAAAAGTTAGCAAAATACATTATGACAGCAGCCGTAACATTTCTGGAGGGAGCCTATTTAAAGCAGGTATTTTCGTGGGGATAATCAATTTCCCCCGATGTCTAAACGATATCTCCGTCAGTGTACAATTTCCTGCTGTTTTAAAGATACATAATGCTCGTTTCAAATCAGTTAAAAGTTCATGTGTAGAACTAGCTGGTATTCCGCCGCTTAGATATGCGGCGCGGTTACATAAAAAGCCTTCGGGACTGGTGGCGTAAAATCCATTCCCACACAGTCGTGCCGGCCCTAGCGCCCCCGGGCGAATTCCTGGCCTAGCGGAGATTTCAATTATGAATCAGAATGGATTTTTGTGGCCGCTCGCGCATAGCGGAAGTCACGGATTATTATAAACTAGAAATATCCTTTCCAAAACGCATTGACAAATGCTTGATGTTTACGTAACCAGACTGTTTGTCCAGTAAGTAACAGAATACCGCACACCGTAACTTAATAAGTTTAAAAATAAATATAATATATTACCCCCCACCCACACAATCCTTGGAATTTTAGGTTATACCTTGCGATTAGAATGGGTATTATGTATTTATTACAAAACAGTATTGAGTACAAGGACATGTTTATAATAACTATAATTGTACACGATACTGAAATATAATAAGAGTAGCATCTGTATGTTTGATTGGCAGAGTTTATTTAAGAAATAAACGTTAGGACGATTCACTCGGAACAAAAAAAAACTGAGACACGTCGATATTCTTTTCAAGGGGGATACGTGAAGGAAGCTACCCCTTAAGCAGGGGGGTAAAATACCCTTAAACTTTAAATGGCACCCTATTTTGAATGACACCTGCTATTTTAAAGCTTTTTCAATTGTAGTAATTGGTTTTTACATGTTTATCTTTGTCTAAGGTGGCGAGAGAACAAAAATACAAAACACTTATTTGATTGTTTACATTATTTAACAATTTTAATATATTATCAGGTATGTGTTTTGTTATCAATTATACAGGGTGTCCCTGAAAAGAATGGACAACGCTTGACCACAGGTTCCTTGGATGAAAATAAGACTTTTTACAATTAGCCTAACTTACCTATATATACAAAAGTGAACGCCTACTGAGATATAGCCTTCTCAATATACAGGGTGTTCCTAAATAAGTGTCGCAACGGAAAACTGTAAATTCCTCTTGAAAAAAGAAACATTTTTTTCCTCTTCCATTTTTCTCTCCGGGCTTTCGTTTTCGAGATACACGGTGTCAAAACTTTAATTTTTTTTTAGTTTTTCGCCAATATCTTAGGAATCGTTTGAACTACAGGACTGAGCTTTTGTACACACATTACCACTATTAATAGCTACTTTTTCGCACCCTTCTCGAATTCATTGGACGTGCCAGTGGTGGAGATTTTAAGGTATCGTAAGGGTTTTTCCCCCCCTAAATTTTACGCCACTGGAAAAATTGACTTTTGACAGCAAATTCTAAAGCGCCAATGAATTTTACACAATAAGAGTTCTCTTGGTTCATTGCTCTAAAGTCAACCGTTTTCAAGAAAAATGACTTTTTATGAACAAAAGCAAACATTTTGCTAACGTTTCGAAAATCTTTTGTAATTCAAAAAATAGGTAGTAATAATTAAGAATTTTAACGAAATTTAACAACAGATAGGATTTTAACTTTTTTTTATCAATTTGGCGAATAAAATTTACAGAAACTGTTCAAAATTACGTCCGTTGTGCTTGAATGCACGCATTACATCTTCTAATCATGTTTCTTTCTGCCGCTGCGGCTTCACCTCTATCGGTCAACTTTTCGATAGTATTGACATGGAACGTTAGCAAAAATGTTTGCTTTTGTTCATAAAGTCATTTTTCTTGAAAACGGTTGACTTTAGAGCAATGAACCA